TATTTCGCAATATAGATCTAAGCTTAATTGGCTTACAATCCGGCAGAGGCGTATTTCCAGAATATTACTTGTCCCTTTTTCCATATTAAATGACCCATTTTCATCTTCTTATCTTAAAGAGTAAATTTCACTATCTCTCCTCATCTCATGATAGGGTTCTTCCTTCTTCTTCTAACAGCAAAATATGTATTCCAGTTCGCTTCACCGAGTTCTATGATACACTCCACACTCATCTCCTTAACAGTTCAGGTTATACGGCTTTGGAACTCCTTGCCCGATGACATCAGAAAAGCTCCCAATAAGTTTGCTTTTAAAAAGTTGTTGCGTAATCATCTATTAAAGACAGACGCTTATTACATGAATCATCCATGTCATTTATATTGTTAGACGTATATATTCATAATTATTTATATCTACTATTTATATATGTATGTTGATATGTGTTTAGGCCCAAACTTGGGCATTTGAGACGCCATCCAATCACGTTGACTGGGCGCATCGCCCGATGGTGTGAGGTGACGTGCGCGACGCGGGGGGGGAGGGGGGCTTGACAGCGGTATGCCACTTCCCGGCGTTCTGCCGAGTGAGTGCGAGGTGAGTAGCTTTGCAGCAGCGGTGCTGTCGATTAGCGTATTTGTGTGGCCACTGCAACGGTTTCGCGCGACCAGGTTTTTTGGTTTTGTGGTCTAGAATTTGAGTCTTTGTGCGCGTTTAAGCTTGAAAGCAGCGGTGCTGTCGATTAGCGTTTTTTTGTGACCGCTGCAACGGTTTCGCGCGACCAGTTTTTGGTTTTGTGGTCTACAATGGGAGTCTTTGTGCGCGTTTAATTTGCTATTGAATTTGGGTCGTGTAGACCGCCTCAAATTAGTTTGTCTAAGTTGTACGTTTCGGACAAGAGGCTTGTATTGAATTTGACTGATTAAAGTTAAAGTTAATGTTTAATTGTACCGTCGTGTTAAGTGCCTTTTGTGTGTTGACTATGCAGTTAGTTTGCGTGTCAGCTAGGCTGATTTTGAGTCTTAATGCGGGCGTAGTATTTAATATCGTACGCAGGAATTTAATTGTTGTCTGTAACGCTGAACTTTGTGACTCGAGAAGAGATCCCGTTCTTCCCTATTTGTAATGTGGTGCTACATGAACTGAACCTTGAATATTGAACTTTGAACGACTGTTAGTTATTTGTGTCGGGTGTCACGTGTTTGATTTCGACGAACGTTGAATTTGGTTGAGTTTGAAGTTAATTAAATGTTCGCGCAAAACACTGTTGTCGGAGTCGACACCAGATGTCACTCGGCTCGGCGCGATTCCGGTTTAAAGTTCGGCTGGGCGTGGCACGAGCGCGCGAGTCGCGAGAGAAAAGTCAGTCGTCCATAAGCGGTGCTAACGATTGGCACGCTGTATTCTGTTAGGGAACTCGGAATAATTCGGCGCGGCCAGTAAATATACGGTCTATCATTGTGACGCGCATTCCTACTGGAGAGTCGCCTTGGATATAGGTAAGTAAGCTTCGCCTAATTCCTCTGCCGGTTGACTGGCCGTAGTATAGAACGCTCCCCCATATATTTAGTGTAATTAGAGAGATTCCACGTGGCCACGATTAAGGCCCGACCTACGTCTGCTCGGGAGGTCTTCAGCTCATGGGCCCCTGGGGATCTGATCCTTTAAGGGAGCAGCCGTAGGCCGTAACAAACTGGTAGCAGAGCGTGGTTCCGGGTTCGATTCCCGGTCGATCCCGACCATAGTGTTTGATAAACATTAAACAATTCTGGTGGCAGGGAGCGTTGGTTTGATTGGTTTAATTTGTATCTACAATCACGCCCGTCCGTAATACGTAAAAATATTTTTTGTACGTAATAATAGAATTATTTCCCTAAGTTGTTTGTTGCTTGCCTTTTTTTTGGTTAGTAGGTAGATTTGAAAAGCCGCGCCCTAGGTTGCGCAAGCGGGAGTTTTCTAGAGATATACGTCATGTAGGTAGATGGTTATTTTTACGTAATCGGTTAATTATCGTTGTCGGATAGTTGTAGTGGATTACTTATCGAAGGGTCGATTTCCGAGCTAGGCATTTTTTGTTGATCGACCGTGATGTGTATCTTCGTTTATACTGTAAGTTGTATTTGAACTAAAGAGTAGTAATGGTATTTGCGCCATTTGAATTTAACTTGATTTGATCGCACTAGTATTTGTTATTTGTTAATTTGATTTGTGCCTTTTCTTTTGTGCTAACTTGTATTTGGTTGATACGTAGTAATTCGTATTTGTGTAATTTCTATTCAACGCAATTTGATAGGAACTGCATTTATTAACTGTTAATTTTTGTTGTATTTTTTGTTTGTTATCTTTGTAATTTGTGCTCGAGCCGCGTCGTAATTTGTATTTAATAGTGATGACATCGCCCAAGCTACTGATCCGTTGTTTGCGGACTGAGCTACGCTGGGCCACAAGCGCCCATGCTTTGATAGGTCGACCGGATAGGGTCCATAACTTGATGAAGCGGTTCGAGCAGGTGGATGCTCGAAGGGCCGTAGTGGAGGAGGCTTACGCTGAGCTCGAGGATTCGGATGTGGAGAAGGGAGTCCTGGACTCCTGCTTCGCGGACTATGAGCAGTTCTTGTGGCTCACGGACGAGTTGATCGAGGCTGAAGGCAGGTATGCCGAGGAGGCGCGTGAAGCTCGGATGAGTAACCTGCCCGAGTCCTCTCTGAAGCAACTTCAGCCGGAGCTGTTGGGACGACTCCCAACTCTGGACCTGCCAAAGTTCCCCGGGGTCCTTTCCGAATGGCTGACCTTCGTTGGTCTTTTTGACAGCCTAGTGGACGCCCGGAGTGACTTGACCCCGAGACAAAAGATGGCGTACCTCCTGGCCTCACTGGAGGGGGAGGCCCTGGGCGTCGTCGGGCACTTGAAATTGTCGGACGACGCCTACCAGACTGCTCGGGACCTCCTAGCCAGAAGATACGCCAACGTCCGGCGAATTGCAGACGAGCATGTTAAGCAGCTTCTAAGCCTCCCGCTGCTTAGTGACCGGGCCAGACTGCGTCCGGACCTGTTGGATCATGTCTTGGTGGCCTGTAATACGTTGAGGCGGCTGGGTTTACCAGTGGGCGAATGGGCCTTTTTGTTGCTCCGCATAGTGCTGTCCCGTCTACCTCTCGACCTTCGAATCCATTTTGAGGAGAGGTACGGCGGGGACGAGGCCTCCTATATTCCGCCCTTCTATGTCCTGCTGCGGTTTTTAGAGGAGCAGTGCCGGCAGATCGAGAACGCGGCGGGCACCGTTGATGACTTACGAGACGTGCCCAGTGAGAGGCTGAACCCGCCAGGCAAGTCGTCGTCAACCCCCCCCTGCTCCTATTGTCGAGCATCTGATCACCGGGTAACGTTGTGCCCGAAATTATTAGGTAAGCCGGTTCCTGCGAGGCGAACTATCGCCAAGGAGCGCCGCTGGTGCTGGTCATGTCTGGGAGGGCACCTCCAGCGAGACTGTCCGCATCGACGGCCCTGTCTGCATTGCCAGGGCAATCACCATGCCGTTTTGTGCCTGGGTGCGAACGGTGTCTCCTCTCGGGGCACTGCCAGGCCCTCGACCCCCACGGGCGGGGGCGCTCAGCCACGCCCTCTGCTGGGCGACAGTCGGCGCTCGCCGGCCAGCCACCAGGCCCCTAAGTTTGAAAGGGGCCCCTCCCCCAAGCAGTTGGGGGGTAATTCCCCCAGGGGCGGGGGTGTCATCACCCCCCCTCAGCATGTGGAGAGGAACTTCACGGCCACTCATCGGTCCGCTGGACCCTTCTCACTTCCGTTAGCTGAGTGGCCGCGACTGGTGTACCACTGTTCCCCATTTGATGGAGGCGGCCCTGTCTAGCTGCCGCCTTAGCTCCCACCACGGCCGCCTCCACTGAGCCTTAAGCCGTCAACAGTCCACTTGTCAAAATGTTCTGTTGCCGACGGCTTCAGTGAAGGCGTACAACCCGAGTGGCAACTGTTAGAGGTTGTGCTCTATTTATCTCGGGTTCACGCCATGTGGCCTCCCCTTGGTGGTGGGAAGATTAGGGCCCCCCTGGAGCGTTGAATCACGCTGTCAAGGGGTATTAGATTTGGTTTGGTCAAGCACTTAGTTAAAAAATACTTTGAATTAAAATTAAAAAATAGTTTTGGGCTTTCCGCGAAATTTTCCTATTTGTAGCGGTTTAAATTAAAAGAATTGAATTTAATCTACTCCTTTAAATGCTACTGCATGTGTTTTGTACATATATTTAATCACTGTATTTGATTGTTGCGTCTGTTTGCTGAAAGGAAAATTTGAATTCATCTGAAATTGAATGGCGCACTATTTGAAAAATTATGTTTATGTTTACCCCGGCTCCACACGTTGGCCCCAATATAGGTCCCAACGCTACTCGTCCAACGTGTGGATCTAGAAAATGGCATTGGTCCCAACGTTGGGGCGAGCGTTGATAGTTGGCCGGCTCGTGTCGGTTTCATCAAAGGAATCTGCGCCAACCCTCGCGATCTGTCCACACGTTGGCACTTTGCTCAGTTCTGTTGCAACACGCAGCAAGTGCGTACATCGAGCGAGAATGGCTTCCTCATCCACAAAATCGCCACCGGAATGGACGATTGAAAAAGTCATAGAATTTATTGAACTTTATCAAGCACATCCAATAATATGGGACGCAACTCGAAAGGATCATAAGAATAAAAATTTATTAGCTGATGCATGGCGCACCATTCAACAGATAATGGGAATGAATTTCTCAATTGAAGATTTAAAAAAAAAGCGAGAATCATTAATGAGCACATATCGCCTTTACAGAAAGAAAATTAGTGACTACTCGATCTGGATCATCAACAGATGATATTTTTAAACCAAATTGGTTCGCTTATGAGCTCATGGATAGGTTTCTTGCTCCGATTTATGATAAATCAGATACAGTTACTATTAACACAGAGGTAAGATAAACATTGATTAATTTTTACTTTATTTATTTACATAGATAAAATCACAAACTGTGTTTCCCATCGATAGCGCCCAAACAATGTGGAAATTGCCATTTTATTTCAAATTCTCGAGCAATCTCAAGCCACTCGTGTTCATTTTGTGGCATCTAAAACAAAAAAAAATATCAGTGTAGGTAATAGTTAATAATTTAAATAAGGGTTGAAATTTACTTGTTGTGTTTGAATTTTTAGACTATGGAGTTTCCTAATGAAGACAGCAATCAAGATAGAAGCTTTTCTAATGAAGGCAGCATTCAAAATAGAAGTTCCACGTCAGCCAAAAAACGGCGAGAATCAGAAGTCACGGAAGTACGAGCTCAGATTAAGACAGCTGTAAATGTCCTAAAAAATCTCTCCGACCGACCACGAACTGAAGTGACGAGGTAGATTTATACTGTTAACTACTGGCCAAAAAAATTAAAAAATTTAATGAGCAACAAAGGGAGGTTATAATGCACGATATAGACGAACTTATTTATCAGAAGCGAAATGACTCTTACTTAAATATTAATAGCCCTGCTCGTAGCAGCACTTACTCGTACGTAAGGTCTACCCCGGATTCCGTGCGTTTTACACCTACACCGTCCCCTTCATCACAAATGTTGGCGTACGATATGTCTACCCGAGATTCCGTACGTTATGCACCTATAACATCCCCTTCGCCTCAAGTGATGCCAAGCCCGTCATATCACGTTGCTGATGATTATAGTGATTATACAGTTGTATCACCAAATCATAGCCAAGTAGAATATGTGACAGGTTCATCCACCTCCACCACATCTACTCCAAAGGTGACAATTATATCAAATGATATTATCTCTCAGGCATTTACTCTTTCTCAGATACAAAATAAGAATTGAATGCTAATGCAAGGACTCGATTGCTTTCTCTAATTATTTTTCTCAATAAACGTGTTTTTGATTCTTATTATTATGGTTTTATTTTACAAAATATACAAAAATACTTACTTTTACAAAAGAACGCAATGCCTCACATAGTGCTTTACATACTTCCGGCACGATCAACGATATGACTTGAGGAGAAATCTTAAATAGGTAATGAAGACTTTTGAATGAATCACCAGTCGCTAAAAATCTAAGTGTCACAGCAAGGCGTACTTTGGTTGGTATTGAGTCTCTGAATACTGTATCTTGCTTTTTTATTCTTGGTCCAATCAACTGTAGAAGGTATTCGAAATCTATCGAAGACATACGACAAAAGTTATCAAACTGTCCTGATGGCTCTTGAATCAAATTACTCAATAATCGGGTTCCATCATACCTAAAAAAGAAAGAAAATGTAAATATAGAATCAAAAAGAAATTTAATATTACAGCTCCTGTAAACAACTGCTGATATAATTATAGTTTGTTGTTGATGTTATTAGAATATTTAAAATGGAGTGTATAACAAGATCTTTACTCACTGATTCCGTGTTTTATGATGTGTCGTCATCCACCATCTTCTTTGACGTGGCTTTTTATTTTTTCTCAGTAACAAATATAAATGTGCACTCAGTACTATAAAAGCGCTCAGAGCAGTTTCGATTTCTGTATCGGACATCTTCACATTGGCCCTGACGGGACAGAACTAGTTTATTAGCCAACGTGTGTACGCCTCACCGAACTCGCAGTCCAACGTTGGTACGAGCGTTGGGACCAACGTGTGGAGCCGGCCTTATGATAGTGTTTAATCATTTTGCTTTACGAAGAAGTAGGGCTGTCCCTTACGTTATTGTTTTGTTTAATTTGCAAGTTGACCTATGCGCATCGGTGATTAATTTGGTTGAATTAATTCTGTAGTTGAACATTGATGCTTTTGAAAAATTAGTTGAAATCAGAGCATAGGACTACTTGCCTAACAGGCTAGCTAGTTTTGGAGATTATCAGATTGAAATCAGCTGCCGCACTATTTTAGTAAATGATAATATGGTGGGTGGCCTGGCTAGGCCTACTTGTTGAAAATTCATACTAGGGACTATCTGTGCGTTTCGTTTGGCTCTCCACAGACGACGTTCATGTGGAATTTGTGGGTGAGCTCTGCACTGAAGCAACTGCTGGCACAAAATTGGTCTGGGCAGCTTCGTGTAGCGTTGCTGTTTGCAGAACTGATCTGGTCGGATTGCGGAACTAATCATAGGGGCACAGATAGGTGTTTGAAATAGGTCGTCGGACTTTTGTCCAGTACAGGACTTATTAAAGTGCTGCAATGCCCAGGAGGGGCATCCAGTGGAGGCTGACCCTCCGGCTTGCCACATTAGGGCTATCTTTTGAGGCGTTGATTAGGGTTGCAGGATCTGATGGGTTGCCTAAGGTGGCCTAGTTTGGTTGTAGATTCGGTCTTGCAACTTGCCATCGCGACCTTGTCTCGCTGCCCGGTTTGCTCGCGGACCTAAATCCTTATGTCCGGGACGGGGGTTTGTTCGCGCAAAACACTGTTGTCGGAGTCGACACCAGATGTCACTCGGCTCGGCGCGATTCCGGTTTAAAGTTCGGCTGGGCGTGGCACGAGCGCGCGAGTCGCGAGAGAAAAGTCAGTCGTCCATAAGCGGTGCTAACGATTGGCACGCTGTATTCTGTTAGGGAACTCGGAATAATTCGGCGCGGCCAGTAAATATACGGTCTATCATTGTGACGCGCATTCCTACTGGAGAGCTTCCCGGGACTTATTGTGTCTGACTCAGAACCTGCATAAGTGCATTCGGCAATATTAGATAGTGCGGCCTCTGATATTCTAGAATTAACTATTGCTACGCGAAACGGTAGTGACCTTTGACCCTTTAAACTCCGTGTGCGTTTGTGCGATAACCATTATACCCAGCGATAGTTAGTGGCTTCTGTAAGTTAGTAAATCGTACGATAGAGTTAATTGACTGTCATCGTGAAGAAAGAGGAAAGTGACTGTGGATGCCTCGGAGGGCCCCCTCAAGTTGGAGCGGTGTCGACGCTCGGGCTGCTACCGACGGCCAAGGTCTAGGTTCAATCACCATCAGTCACACCCAGATACACATCACATCACTTATTTCCCTTTCACTACACAACCACATGTGACCTGACCGACTCCGGAGGGACCAGTCGCCTTGGATATAGGTAATTAAGCTTCGCCTAATTCCTCTGCCGGTTGACTGGCCGTAGTATAGAACGCTCCCCCATATATTTAGTGTAATTAGAGAGATTCCACGTGGCCACGATTAAGGCCCGACCTACGTCTGCTCGGGAGGTCTTCAGCTCATGGGCCCCTGGGGATCTGATCCTTTAAGGGAGCAGCCGTAGGCCGTAACATTAAATGTACAATAAAGGTGATAGACTGAAATAATGAAATGAAGAAAGAAGTGTCAATTGGTGACGTCCGCTGGAGTGATACAACATGGTGGGGCAGCATCGGACCAGGCCGCTGCCCGATCACCTCAGCTGGGTCAGGTCACATATATAAACACTACCACACACACTACTTACATGCATCTACACCACTACCGCCTGACCGAGCCTTGGGGCAGTCTTAGCCTCGGAACCAGGTACGTACTATTTATTTATCTAGCCTTATATCTATTGTGTAGAATGATAAGTCTCCATAGGCCGTTGGGCCCCACCCTTAGTTGCCGTCGAATCTACCGCTGATGGGCCCCGGGATATTTGATCTTTGTTGGGGCAGCTAGGGGCGTGTACATATGTATATTTATGTTTGTATGTATTAGTAAAATGTATATATTACGTAGTTAGTTATTATTTTTATTTTGTTTTTATTATTTATTTGACCACACCATGGGTTGACTGTTAGAGAATGCCTCAAGGCATTAAGTCCGCCCTTTGCGGTCTTTTAGATTAAGGAATGCAATAAAGAATAAATAAATAAATAAAATAAGTATGCGAGTGTCCGTATGCAAAATATTGCAATGAACTGGGCTTTTACTGTTCACCGCCATTTTTTTAATTTCGAGGGTTTCTTTTATTTGTAGGGTTTATCATGACCAAGGAAGATGGGCATTTGGAGAAGTCACGTGTCCTATACCCAGCATAGTAAAGACCCTTTACCGTTACCGTTACTGTTACAGCCTATCAAAAGTACACTGCTCAGTTTAGGCATGCCATAGCTGCCACGCTTGGCAAGCGGGTTGGCATCCGCAGTTTTTTTTATTTTTTATTATTATTAGGAAAACGCTGCTGCTCATCTCCTTGTTTGTTATAAATTCAAGGTGCAGTCTGCAGTCTCTTTGTCGAAGGTGCAAGTGCCAGGAATTACTTTATATTCTGCGGTTAGTCAAGAAGAAGGTAAGTAATCTCCGAAAACCGTGAAGAAAAGGCGAGCAATAAGGCTCGGCAACCGTGCCGATCACTATGCACAGAGAGTAGCTTGATGGAACAGGAAACATGTTTTCAATATTGCAGACGATGTTTGTTTAGGTACGAATGAAAGAGGTTCTTAGGACGATGACGGAACCTTGCAGTTGAAGTTTCCGACAGTTGCGTTATTCATGTAACGTCGGGCTTACCATTTTGGCCGTAGAAGGAAAAGGTGAGATCTCCCGCCTAGCAAGGTGTTCAGCCCAAAGGAGCGGCAACGCGACCATCGCTCTGTGTGGTGTTACAAAGCTGTTCTATGTATGTCGGAGTAGTTTGAATACTTCGATAGCGAGATTTTGGCTTCGGCTAGTTCCGTTTGTGGCGCGACTACAGCGCCACCACAAATTGTTTTTAAAGAATTAGGGTAACAAACGATCACACAGTCCACCTGATAGTAAATTGATGCGGTAGCACATAGATATCTACATCTTGAATGTCGATGCGTTGTCACCCCTGAAGAAGAAAATGGAATGCCTCGTTTCCAGTAAAAAGGATCTCCGGTTCTCTACACTCACCATACGAAACACAGCAGCATTCAACTGCTATTTTACGCTGATTTTCTGTAAGAGCGTGGTCCTTCCTCGGTCAAGCCGACCCATTAGTGCTACAACTAAGTATAGCTGCACAGCTCTGCCGCGTATAAAACACATGTATCGAGTTTTCTTGTCCTTTTCAAGTTTTTATGTTACTTTTTATGTTCACTGTAAATGGCGAATGTACTTCAATAAGTAAATAACAAATAAAGATACTTTTTCGTATACCTTTCACTCTATAGGTGATATATAACACATTATATGTACATTGTATACACCATGAAGTGCCAAACGAAATATAAAATGACTATTGTTGCGGTAATACAGTGAGATTTATTATCTAGGAATTAATTACCAGTTACAATTAATTCATTAAGTGGGATTGTAGTTTAAACGCTGGCTTATATTAATTAGTAAAAAGATTGGTAAAATAAAAAACAAAAAATGTACATGAGTGTACTTTGCGGTAACAGCGTCGATAAATTAGGTGTTTTTTTATAGGAGTGGTGGCAAACGAGCTAACGGCTCACCTGATTGTAAGTGGCTACCGCCGCCCATGAACAATTGCAACACCAGGGGAATTTCAGGTGCGTTGCCGGCCTTTTACAGACGGAATTGTAGTTAAACGCTGGCTTATATTAATTAATAAAAAGATTGGTAAAGTGAAAAATAAAAAAATGTACATGCGTGTACTTTGCGGTAAAAGCATCGAAAAATTAGGTGTGTTTTTAATAGGCGTGGGGGCAAACGAGCTAACGGCTCACCTGATTGAAAGTGGCTACTGCCGCCCATGTACAACCGCAACACCAGGGAAATTGCAGGTGCGTTGATGGCCTTTTGGAAAGGAGTAACCTCTTTTCTTGAAGGTCCCTAAGTCGTATCGGTCCGGAAAAATCTCTGGTGGTAAACGGTTCCATACAGAGTTCGTACGCGGAAGAAAACTAGTAAAACGTACAGTGAAAAGTACAGCTATTGTAATTTTTGTGTTTAAAAAGACGTAAATAACAATAATGTGATTAAAATTGCTTATTTATGTAAGGTAACGTTACTTTCATTACTTTTTGCAGCAAAATACTGAAAAATTCGGCATTTTTGTATTTCGATCTTTGATTCAGCAGCGCAACTAGATTTAGTCCAATGAGCAGTGCGGCTGCCACTAGTTATGTATATTGTACGCATAGATAAATAAATAAGTAGCAAGCTATTGATTGTACGCATTGGACCGCGTGAGCTTATACTTTGACAGAGGAGAACGCCTGCGTATAGCTACATTATAAATATAAGCTATCTGTCTTTTGTAGATTCTTCATTATTAAGCTACACATAGTTTTAATTTTATTATAGCATGTTATTTTTGTTAGACTTATTGTTACTTTATTTAATTGTTCTTCCTAAATGAAAACAGTGGTAGAGCCACGCGGCAGCTTTTGCTGTCGCACGGATGGGCCGGCTCGAACCGGGGTGGTACAACGACCTCACAGAATACCAGCGTGAAGTAGAGGTTAACCTCTGCGTTTCGTTTGGTGAGTGCAGGTGGCCGGAGGCCCTTTTTACTGGAAATGAGGCATTCCATCTTAGTCCTCACGGGTGACAACGCATCTGCATTTTGATTTGTAATAGAGGACAGATGTAGATGTCTATGGGCCGCAGCAACCACTTACCATCAGGTGGACTGTGTGCTCGTTTGTCACCCTTATTCTATAAAAAAAACGTGTGTAATTGGAAACGAAATAAATGATTTATTATTATATGAATTAAAATATAAATAAATTTATAATAAACACTGTATACTATATTCTCCCCTCCGATCCACCGGTGGTTAGTTTTGCTCAATGTTGACGGTAGACATACTACTCAATTAAATACTCCTTTAATAATATGACGGCCCGAAGGTTTTTATCTTTTCGTTGAAATATGTACAAAAAAATAAGAAGCCTTCAATTCAAATGTCGTGGTGACTAGTGTATGACAATTGACAGCAGACGACATGAGGATTTTGTAACAACAATGGCTATGGCCCTTCATGTCACGACATTCCAGAGCCCTACATTGAGGAAAGCACAGAACACTTTTACGAGGAAAGACTTATTATCAACTGGCTACACGTTTTTAGTACATAAATTGGATAGTTTTCATAAACTTCTTGAAAAGGTGATCTTTACTATGGACTACATGTGTAGATAGTTTTTAAGATTTATTAGAAGTTTTTAAGAAAATTAAGTCTAATAGAATCGTATTCATCACGGATAACCATAATTATTAATTTGTAACCTTATAAAAGTATGCAAACCTTTTCAAAACAAAGCCTTTTCTGGTTCCTTCTTTGTTAGTAGTTAGATTTCTTTAAAAATGAGAAAAAAGGATTCCTGCTCGCCTCCTTATATTATATAGCAGACGGTGAAATAATATCTTTAAATAGGTTTACGCATAATCCAAGACAATATCATAATTTTATAAACATGTTAGCTCCATGCTTGAAATTTAATATTCATTTAATGACTTAAGTATACATATTTAATAAGATAACAAAAAACACTGTAATTTATTCCACGGTCAGGGAAGCCGAAGCGGATATGTCCGTGCAATCTTCTCTGTCGTCAGGGTCGGGAGCGCCGCAGGGCGCCGCCAATATCATCGACCTGGACCGCTACATGCGTGCAGCAGTCCGCCCTGGACAGTCCCCAAGACACGAACGACGATGGTATAGTCGTTTTGAATAAATATTTGACTAGGTATCGTATTGCAGATTTGAGAAGCTTTGAGGGTCGATATTCGAAAGGAAAGGCTGTAATGATGATGATATAGGACTTATGTGAAAAATAATCGCCGTCGTATAATGGTGGCGCAAAGGAATTTAACAACCCACAACTCCTTCTCGTGAGTGTAAGATGCACCTGTAGGATATGTCAGAAAAACTTCTAAAGGCTTCCGTCACCTTGTTTACACCAGGTGTAAATCACATAGACCGACAACGATGGAGAGAGGCGTTAAAGTTGTAAGCCGTACTGTTATCAATATAATAAACCGACTGCTAAGCGTGACGATCAAGTTAAATCCTTCCAACAACTGGAGAGGCTTATGTGTGGCATGAACTGGCTGGTAAAGAATAATTATGATGAAAAATAGTAAATAAAAAAAAAACATTAAGTACCTACCTTCACACATCACTTAAACAGTTATGATAAATGAAAATTTTAAACTCTAACTTAGATGCGTTCTACTATGAAAAATATAACAATTTAAGACCTGCATGTGTGGGAGTAATGTTGTAAGTAGGTAGTGTTAACCTGCCGCATACTGTTATGATGTATGAGAATACATCTTTATAACTTGTATCAGAGAAAAAACTCTGAAGACACCCGCGGGACAAATTATGAATGTTTAGAAAAGGGGAATTTCCAAAAAAAAAATGTAATTGCCTTTGACAAATGGTGATTTAACCATGTCGTATATATATTATCTTGATATGTACAATAGTACATTATTTAAAATGGTATCTAGATTGAGAAGCTGCTCCTTGCGAATTGTCTATTACTGCTACCGCCAATCAAGTATGTGTCAAGTGCAGCGATTACGACTAAATACTAGATACCATGGGAAAATAAACGTCCTCAATACAGTCCTTACCATGTCCACTGCTGAACATAGACCTCACCTAAAAAATGCCCAAGCACACGGTCCTGAGCCACATGCGTTCATAGACTTCCTGCATGTCATACGTGATCGTCACTCCATCTAGTGGTTGTCAATTACAATGTAAACTATATAGTGACACTGAAGGCACTGCGCATTTTATGGCGTTATTGAGAGTTGCCGTTAAACGGAGAGAAGAAAAATCAGTATTATTTTACTATTATAAAGTTACAGCCTATATACATCCCACTGCTGGGCACAGGCCTCCTCTCATTTCTGAGAGCGTTTTAGGGCCAGGAAATGTCCGCCGCGCTGCCCCAATGCGTGTTGACGAACTTCACATATATGTCTTCGAATATTTTTTTTCTTATTTCTTAGACATGCAGGTTCCCTCAACGATGTTTTCCTTCATCGCCGAACACGTGGTAAATTAGCATTTAAAATTGGCTATTAACAATTTCATTGGTGCCGGCGAAGATCGAACCCGGGTTGCTCGCGTACTGTGAAACTTACAGCGAGCGCTAACCATCTGAGCAACCACGGCTCATTTTACTATTATAATATTACATATGTATTATGCTTTTCGATTTAATTAATAATGACGTTCTACTGGGTGAATTTAACATAAACTCCACTATTTTTTTAAAGCTGCTTCTAGAGACACGGGTATGCAGACTACATGCTCTCGAAAAATTTGGTACTTCAGATTTACAAGTGTTTAAGCCAAAACTCATCAAAATGTTTCGTCCCATGTTCGTCTGGTACTTAGTTTCACGTTTATGTGGAAAATATAACGAAAAAGAATGTGCCAACTGAGTTATTTGGCTAGAATGTTGTAAAAGGCGAATAGTGGGACATTGAGTTTGTGATTGTGTATGGGATGAGTTAGTCACCTATCACTTCTTTCACTATTTTCCAACTATACCCATATTTTAAGCTAAACTTAGTTTACGCGGTCCGAGAAACTTGCTGTTCTTTGGACTTCATCTATCCTCTCGTGGATAATAGGCGTGACGCTATGTATGTCGTAATGTTTCTTAGCCAGCGTCTGGTGGTGGATGCGGGCGGTATATGCCGCAAGAAGGGCCGCGGCAAAGCTAGCTGCAGCAGCAACAGTGGCACCGCTACAGCAACCGGCAGCGACAGCGGTGGCCTGCTCCACGCGAAGCGGTTCTCCCACGACTCGGGGCTTTCGGACGGTAGTAATCCTCGACACAGGCGGCGATCGTATAGGTTCCTTCTTCTAAAATCATCCATAGAAATAACCTATCAATGGCGTATAGTTCAAAAAAATATAAGTTAGAACGTGACTGATCTCTTTCTTTAGAAGGAGGGTTTGTATTTAACCAAGGTGGCTAAATATCCGAAAGATCTCTCGGCTTCCGATAGATCACCAGGCGGCATTTAATCAGACCAGCGACGGGGACCAGCACCAACGGTGCTGGAAGTCTGGTAATCTGCCCAACGGGTCGAAAGTGGTGTACGTGGTAGAGCCATGCTGCAGCTATATTATGGTTGTGGCAAGAATGGGTCGGCTCGACTGGGGAAGGACCACGCTCTCACAGAATACCACCGTAAAATAGCAGCTTAACGCTGCTTCGTTTCGTATGGTGAGCTTAGAGAACCGGAGACCCTTTTTACTGGAAACGAGGCATTCAATCTTAGTCCTCACGGGTGACAACGCATCTGAATTTTGATTCGTAATCGAAGATAGATGTAGATGTCTATGGGCCACAGCAACCACTTACCATTAGGTGGACTGTGTGCTCGTTTGTCACTCGATCCTATAAAAAAAAATGCACGGCGATGAAGGACAACATTGTGAGGAAACCTATATGTGTCTGAGGAATAAAAATATTTGGAAGGCATATTGAAATCCGTCAACAAGCACTGGAACAGAGCGTTGGATTAATTGCTCGACAACCCTCTCAGAAATGAGAGGAGGCCTTTTGTAGAAATATAGGCTATAACTATACTTTTATTTATAATAGATCTGAAAACGTATAGCTACGTAAAAGGGTCAAAAAACCCATAAAAATTGAACTTTACTTTGAGATTTTTCCTTCTGGTTACACCGAACATAATGATGCCATGTTGCAATGTGGGGTTTGGAGCTTCAACCCAACATGGCCCTTTTTTAATTTGTAACAGTAGTTACTAGTATTATTTAAAAAAAAATATATTTGGAAACAATACTAAAAGCCCAATCGATTTTCAATTAGCATAGTGGAATTTTGTCCCCCCCCCCCCCCCCCGCAAGTTCTGCAGCCCTAAGACCATGTCTTGGTGGCTCTTTTTGTAGGAGTGGACTAAGGTAGTATGGTACGAGTATATGTTGTTTGTTTTAATAAACTATTGTCAAACGAACCAACAGTCCCAGGGGGACTTCTGCATTCTATGGACATCTGCAGCCAACTTCAAACAACAAAGGCTGCAGATGCACTGTCACCTCTAAGGACTAAGACGGAATACCTCAAAGCCTGTAATTATAGCAGCAGTGCAGCACTGCTATTTTGTGACAGAAAAAGTTAAGAAAACGGGTTCCTAGGCAGGAAGGTAGTTCAACCACTTAGTACAAATGTGTAACCTGCATAATGGTATTACATCATGATCAATATTCAAGAAAATAGTTTTATACGTGGTGGATTTATATTATAGCTAATATTATTGTTGTAAAACGAATGGGGCGGTTCGACCTATGAAAGACCACTCTCTGACAAAGTACCAACGTAAAATAGCAACTTAAAACTGTTGTGTTTCGCATGTTGAGTGTAGAGAACCCGAGACCCTTTACTGGAAACGAAGCATTCCATCTTAGACCTCAAAGGTGACAACTTATCTGCATTTTGCTAAAAAAAAATAGATGTAGGTGTCTGTTGGGCACAGCATCCATATAACATCAGGTGGGCTGTGTGGTCGTTTATGACCTGATTGCATAATTTCCAAACGCAATTGCTCGAAGGTTTGGTCGTATTTATTTTAATTTAGGGAGGAATATATGGCTAAATCGTTAAGAAAGGGTCAAACTGAGCGTCCGGACTTTTTATATCTTCCCTCCTAATCAACAACAGGTAATAATTTAGTTGACTGTACTTGTATGTAGCTTGACGATTAAGGCAAATTCTCCCACCGATGAGAGACCCATGTCCAGCAGTGGACCTTTGCGGGCTAGTGAAGATGAAGATAATAATATTTTTTTAAACAATTTAGACGAGAGGGTGGCAACGTAACTACGAATAGATGTAGGGATTCAGCACGAGCGCATGGATCTACATCATCGCTGCTAGCGTTCCGGGCGGCATGTGAAAGGGCACTTCGTGAACAACAGGAGCAGATAGCCCGAGTGGCCCAGCTCTGCGAACAATTAGGCGAGAAACAAAATGACCGTCGTAGTGAGAGGCATACAGAACGTCGTGGCGATCGGCGTCCCGAACGAACGAAGCAAGAGCGATCGAAACTGGACCGACCGAAGCTAGACCGATCGAGGCCCAGACCAAACCCCGAATGTTCGTCCTCAAGTATTGAATCTACTGATTTTAGCTCAAGTAGTCGCAGTGCAAGAGAACGACGCAAGGATAAACATCGGGTTAGTTTGAATCTAAGTCCCGTATCTACGTATTATACCTAGTCAGGTCATAAATTCTGTCACATGTTTAATATAAAATAATTGAAACAAGTTTATTCATTATGTAACCATTTATATACCAAAATGAACTTAACAAAAGATAGATTCTTATGACACTAAAGTTTATTCAAAATGACCTCCGTGATTTTGAATACAGGCCTTCAATCTGCGCGGCCAGTCGTCTATCGCAGCACGAACGAGGTCCATGTCAATATCGGCGGCTGCCTTAATCAAGGATGTCTTGAGTGTCTCCAAATTAGGATGAGGTTTTGAGTACGCCTTTTCCTCCAAGTGTTGCCATATCTTGTAATCTAACGGATTCAAATCTGGACTGGAGGAGGGCCAGTCTTCGTGCCGGATGAAGTCGATTTCTCGCGCCGCCAGCCAGTCTTGTGTGCTCTTCGCTCTATGAGCTGGCGCCGAATCTTGTTGGAATACCCAGTGCTTGTTATTGAACATGGTATGAGAAACAGGTTCCACAAGGTTCGTCAGGACTGTATTTTGATACACAACTGCATTCGTTTTTACACCTTTCTCACAAAAATGTACCTCTGTTAAGCCCCAATAAGAAACTCCCAACCATACCATGAGCGAGGATGGAAAATGACCTCGTTGGACACGCGGAATGCGGTTGCTCGCTTCTTCACTACTGTGTGCGTACACCTAATCATTTTGTTTGATGTAGCTCTCTTCTACGGTAAAAATTTTTTCATCCGAAAAAAGAATTTCCCGATATTTTTTTCCCGCGTACCGCTTCAACAAAGCGCGGCATCTCTTCAGTCTCAGGTCCATTAGACTAGCATTCAAACGATGTCCTGTTTTTCTTCGATATGCCCGAAGCCCTAAGTCTTCATTTAACACCCTTTTCAGCGTGGTTCTGCTTAACCCCATCTGAAGGGCCAACAGTTTCTGCTTACGTTTGGGATTTCTTTGAATTCGCGCCTTCACAGCTTTTATCACTGCTGGAGTCCTAACAGACCGAGGGCGACCACTTCTTGACCTGTCATCTACACTAGAGTCTTCATTGTATCGTTTGATGGTACGATAAACGAATCTTTTGGTTATATTCAAATTTTTCAGTATGTCAAAAATTTGAATTGGCGCGTAACCGCAACGATGCAACGCAATAACTGCAACACGGTCTTCTTTAAGCATCTCCCACACACAAGCGGCTTGCGGTGGCGGCTAACCGCGGGCCGCGGCTGCAGCCGCTGTAACAACACACCACCGCGGCCCAAGTGGCGGCCTGAAGCGCCATTCGCTGTGGTGTCTGTGCTACGATCGGACGTACGAACATGACAAACATTATCATATATTTTGTTTTAATACTAATGCTTTTGTGATCACGATGATGCGAATTATCATAAAGTACTACATAATTTTGCCCTGTTTCTATTAAAATCTCTGAATTTAGCACCATTTCTCACGCGGTACACGCGGCCTGTTGTAAAAAATTACAACTGAACGCGCTGCAGCCACCGACTGACCGCGTACTCGCTAACACACACGCATTGGCAAATGGGGCGGAGCATGCGGCCGCGGCCAGACGTTCGCAGGCCGCGCCATGGCCGCATGGGTTTGGAGACTCACTTACATTGCAAGCGAATACAACTGGCCGCCACCGCTGCCGCCACCGCAAGCCGCTCCTGTGTGGGAGACGCTTTAAGCGTCCACTCCATATTTAAAAATGAGTAAAATTCTAAAAAGTATACAGTTTTATTTTCATGAACAATTCGAAATTCGAATTCAATAAACTTTTTTGTGGCCAGCATTCTAAAAGAAAAGTTTTTACTGTGTGACAATACTTATGACCTGACTAGGTATATGTGATGCTCGATAGCCATGACGCCAAACCTGTCAAGCTCGGCTATCACGCGGTTTGTTCTCCCTATGCCCATTATCTACTATTCCAGCATTGTCCACGGTCTATGGACATTAATAGTCTCGGCATCAATAATTTGTGTATTAATTTTGAGTTCATTATAGATTCCCACATCATCCACCGGATTCTTTCACTTTCCCCCCAACCCTCTTCTGTTTGGTCTCCCTTGCCGTGGGCTTCCGTTTGGTTGGTTTTTATTTACTTATCAGTTATATTTTTGGTGTATAAACCTGCATGTCTGGGTGAAGTCCGCCAACACGCATTGGGGCTGCCACTTCTTCGCCCCAAAACCCTCTCAGAAGGGGAGGCCTATGCCCAGCTATAGGATGTGTATAGGCTGTTACTTTACTTTACTTAACATTTTATTAAAAGCGAGCTGATTGTAACCAACAATGTTTTTATAAGGCTTGATATGAACTTTATGGCCACATACTAGTATATATCTTAAGCCGTGTTGGTTACAAGAAATTGTGTATTATTGATTTGTAATCATACTAGTATACACTGTAAATTACAGACAGACGAATGTAAAACATACAAAATCATAATGAATAAATTGGATGAGTTGAGTCAACTATTTGCGGCCAGGCGTCCGGTGCCGCCTGTATCTCTGGGTTCCAAGCAACCAAAGTTTGCTGCAGCCCGCGTAGCTTCCTCTGGATCTGTGTCCGTATCGGATAAGTTTGTCGCTACAGAACCGGACCTTAGAGCATGTATAACATCGAGGAACTTATCGCCCACTGTTCAGGTAAAACAAAGATATTTTTTTCAGTAATAGTTGTACCTAATGCTTATTTCGACGAGCGGATCATGACTAAGTTGCGAAACAAATTCTGGTCTCGACAGATAATCAAGTGGCTCGCGCAAGATTTCCAAATTAATTAAAAATTTATTCTCTATGCAATTATTTAATTTTCAAATACGTTTGTAAATTGACATCTGCAGTCAACTTCAAACAACAAAGGCTGCAGATGCACTGTCACCTCTAAGGACTAAGACGGAATACCTCAAAGCCTGCAATTACAGCAACAGTGTAGCACTGCTATTTGGCGGCAGAAAAGGGCAAGAAGCAAATACGTTTGTAAATGTACGCTAAATTGCGTGAGGCAGAAAATAAATCAGAGTAAAATTAATTCTATAGAAATGCGTTCATTAAGGAATATGTTAGAGTTGACTCTGAATTGAAAGGGTGAGAAATTGTGTGATAAGAGAGGTGTGGTTTGAAAGACAGTCTTTATCCACCCTTCGGAGTTTGTAAACAATTAACAATATGTAATTGCAATAAATTGCGATAGCTATGATACTACTCTCTCATCACTAGTTTCCACTAACACTTGGCAGTAGAACTATCTAGTACTAGATATAGATCTAGTATTATCTATAATATACAGGGTTATTTTGCAATGACCGATCAAAATTGCAGAGAAGGTTCAGAATTAAAAAATCTCAAATATTTTGTTTATTTTAGCTTTTCAATTCAAGATGCGTGATAATGCATTATTTTAACTGATTTTACCGCGCACGCACACATTCGTAAGGGTCGATCGGTAGGCAAATTCGTTGTTGCCCATAAATCACATTAAATTTCGGATAATTTCAAATAAAAGTAGAAGCCTTATTTACTCGTATTTTCAAAAACTGCAATAACGGTATATCATTATTTATATATTTTAACTTAAGTTTAAAATTTGGCTACTCTTTGAAAAATGAAGCTCTATAAAGTTAGCAGTGAAAAGTCAGCAGAAACCTTAAAACTGTATCTAGGAATTTGTAGCTAATTTGTTGCTAATTAGTTGCTAAAATCACGATTTTGTTGCTCCAATCGGTTTTGAGAAAATTTATCTTTAGGTACATTAAGATAGCAGTAACAACTTTCAATCAACCCCTCCGTAGCGGATAAAACAGGATAAATTGTTGCTAATTAGTTGCTGAAATATAATGCAAAGAAATATTAAAAAAATCAAAAGTTAAAAAATATTAAAAATCAAAATATGTTTTAATACTGCTTCTGAAGTTCCAAATTAATTAAAATTTTGCTGCTAATTAATAAAAAGATCAATAACTTCCAGACAGCTTACAACAACATAAAATCGGTCCATAAGCTGTATCAAGTAATAAGTTACAAATAAATGTGTACATGCTGCCTATACGAGAGATTTAAAAATAGACGAACAGATATATATTGTTGCTGTTCAGTTATGGAAGCAGAAATTCATAAAGAGTCAGTAACAAAATAAAATCGATCTATGAGCTGCACCAAGTAATTAGTTAATAATTTTTTGTGTACATGCTATATTTACATGAAAATTTTAGGAAATAAAGTTTGCAGAATTTTTGTTGCTGCTCAGTAATGGTAGCATCAAGTAATAGAGCCAGTAACAAAATAAAATCGATCGATGAGCTGACCAAGTAATTAATTTGTAATTATTTGTGTACATGCTTTATCATGAACATTTTAAGAAAAAACTATAGCAGATATTTTGTTGCTGGTCAGTTACGGAAGCAGAAACTCATATAGAGCCAGCAAAAAAATAAAGTCGATCGATAAGATGCACCAAGTAATAAGTTAATAATTATTGGTATACATGCTAAATTTACATGAAAATTATAGGAAAAAAAATAGCAGATATTTTGTTGCTGGTCGGTAACGGAAGCAGCAACTCATAAAGTGCCAGCAACAAAATAAAGTCAAACGATAAGCTGCACCAAGTAATAACTTAATAATTATTAGTGTACATGCTATATTTACATGAAAATTAAAGGTAAAAAGATAGCGGATATATTGTTGCTGGTCAGTAGCGGAAGAAGCAACTCAAAAAGAGTCAGCAAAAAAAAATTCAATCGATAAGCGTCATCAAGTAATTAATTAGTATTTATTTGTGTACATGCTATATTTTTATGAAAATTTTAGTAAGAAAGATAGCAGATATTTTGTTGCCGTTCAGTTATGTAAGCAGCAACTTATAAAGAGCCAGAAACAAAATAAAATAGATTAATAAGCTGCATCAAGTAATAAGTTAATAATTATTTGTAGACATGGCTATATTTACATGAAAATTATAGGAGAAAAATAGCAGACATTTTGTTGCTGATCAGTTGTAAATGTAACAAGTCACAAAGAGCCAGCAACAAAATAAAATCAATCGATAAGCTGCACAACGTAATTAGTTAGTAATTATTTGTGTACATGCAATATTTTTATAAAAAATTTAAGAAAAAAGGTAGCATATATTTCGTTGCTGGTCAGTTGTAGAAGCAACAAGTCATAAAGAGCCAGCAACAAAATAAAATCGATCGATAAGCTGCACCATGTAATAAGATAATAATTATATGTGTACAAGTTATATTTACATGAAAGTTTTAGAGTTTAGTTTAAAAAATCTCAAATATTCTGTCCTTTTTATCTTTTCAATTCAAGATGCGTGATAATGCATTATTTTAACTGATTTTACTGCGCACGCACACATTCGTAAGGGTTTCGTATTCGACGTATTCGTAAAGTTATTTTTATAGGTTTGAATAATGATCCTGATAACGTACTTAACGGGAACCACAGGGTTTTTGTTACATGTTGTATAAATAATGATATACCGTTATATATATATATATATATATATATATATATATATATATCTATATATATATCTATATATATATCTATATAAATATACTATATTATATATATATATATATATATATATATATATAATATAGTATATTTAAATCAGTAAGATCGCGAAATTTAAGTACAGCTGTATTTGGAGTCACCAGTGACAGAGGTTAAGAACCACAGTATTGGATAAGGATACTAAAAGTATATAGGTACAGTAAAATTTGTGATGTTCTAACGTGCATATATGAACTAGGTACACTCTATATTTTGAAACATGTTGTAAAACGATCCAATATTTTCTACCAGATATTGCTTACACCTCGACCAACCGAACGCAAAGTGGGCTTGCAAATACAAACGCAAGCGACTGGAACTAATCCAATTACTGGGGAAGAGGAAGCGGAAATACGCCAAAGAGATTTAAAAGTTGATGCAAATCGTACGGAAGGGAAGCGAGAAAATGAGGGAACGGGTCTTAATCGCCGGCTTGCTATAACGCGTGCTAACTTTCTTGAAATAGCACCCTCACCAAGGAAACGTCCTAATATTACTACAGAAAGGTAAACAGAAACTCCACGCCATATTTTTCTTGTTTTCTTAAACAAAAATGTTTTTTTGGAATAACTTTTAAACAGATGTAATGATCGATTCCAAAATCTAATCAGCTCTTATACATGAAAAACGACGTTGATTGCTGCGAACCGCTTCAAAATCGGTTAAAGCGTTGAAATTTCGAAAATAGTTTTTTTTTCACATAACTTTTGAAGTTATAGTCTAATCGTTTTTTTAATAATAGATTTTATTATTGTTCTTAAAATACTTCGTTGATTGCCAGCAACTACATCAAAATTGGTTGATCCGTTCGAAAGTTATCGTTGTCAAAAAATTTCAAAAAAGTGTTTTTTTTTTAATAAATTCGAAATTTCTGCTCAAGCCGTTTTTGATGTAATGAGTTAACTATCAGTTCGTAAAAATATTTGTCGAGCGTTTTGAGATCGTACTTAGCGGGATGTTCCAGGGATGGCCTGCAGGGTCAACCGTATTTTTTTTTGTAATTGTTTTTATCAAAATCGACGACATGGACTATTATATATTGGATATTAAACCATTTATTTAATTGGTACGGTTTCTTAATAAACCCTTTGCCTAAATTTTTAAATTGTTTGTTTTTTCAGTGTTGTGCAACGGGAGCATAGCTTAGAGTCAGTTGGGGATCGTTTATCCAACTTTGATCTAGAGGACCCTATCCGTGTAAGTAAAAACATCAGCCAGTGTCTGTCGTGAAAATCGATTCCAAGTTTGTGAGAGAAACGATTTGTGCAAATCCACGGTTAACTAAAATTCCGTACATTCATTTTACAGCTGTATGCGCAAGCGAAACGGCTGCAGGCTCTCCACACAACGACTCGCCGGGCACGAAGCGAAGATCGCACAATGTTAAATGATCGCCTAGGTGTAGGCAAACTGGATGGCCGATTCGACGAGCGTTTAAAAGGCGACTCCCTCTGCGCTCGGTGTAGAGGATATTGGAGGGCGTTTCGTCACTGCTTCCCGTCCCAGTTGTTCTGCCGGCCGGAAGACGCTTGCGCTTGCTGATAGATGTTGTAGAAAATATATTATTTATTTCGACCACGTGTTTTATTTATGTACTAGCTGTTACGCGGCGCATTGCTGCCACAGAAAAAATAATTGTAGAAATATCGCTGGAAATTTGGATGAGTTATATTGTTAAATCGGAATGATAATACATACATTCATTTAAGTTTTTTTATAGGATAGGGTGACAAACGAGCACACAGTTTACCTGATGGTAAGTGGTTGCTGTGGCCCATAGACATCTGCATATATCCGCGTTTGCGAATCAAAATGCAGATGCGTTGTCACCCGTGAGGACTAAGATGGAATGCCTCTTTTCCAGTAAAAAGGGTCTCCGGTTCTCTACACTCACCATACGAAACACAGCAGTGTTAAGCTGCTATTTTACGCTGGTATTCTGTGGGAGCGTGGTCCTTCCCCGGTCGAGCCAACCCATTCGTGCTACAACTATACTATTAATATAGCTGCAGCATGGCTCTACCACGTACGAATTAGTAGAAGAAGAAAAATCATGTGACAAGCCTATCAGAATAGGTATACATTTTCGACGTTGTTAAGAAGCTTCCCATCTGGTCCTCACTGTTTACTCTGTGGTTATACTATGCCTATAACCTTCGCGCAAGTGCTAGCAATAAGTTGACAAAGTTTTACCGTAATTTGATGAACGGTATGGCAGCGCATAAAATACGAACAAACAAATATTAATATTTATATATACAAATATTATATAATTATTAGAGTCTGAAACATGGTTTTGGAACGAAACCGAAACAGTAGCTGAATATTCAGTTCTTCTAATTACGGCTGAAACACAAACCGAATCTTGTTATGTTTTATTCGTCACAGTAGGTACACTGAAATATACAGTGATTATAAAGAATTTTAGTCTTTCTAAAAGTATTTACTTCTTCATTACAGCATCATTATTACAGCCCTTCACACTGCTGAACAAAGACCTCCCCCAAGAAATGCCAGAAAGCAAGGACTTGAGCTACCTTACAATGTATCATATTAATTAGAAAGGCACAAAAGGAGTCCTACCAGCTAGTAATGTCTCATAGGTTTCAACAAAGAACGATACAACTCAGCACCATCGAAGTCGGAGAGGGACACCTGGGAATGTTTTACTGTCTTTTACATGGTAGGGTCACTACAGCTATATTATAATTGTAGCACGAATGTGTCGGCTCGACCGGGGATAGCCCACGCTCTCACAGAATACCAGCGTAAAACAACATGTTTATTGCTGCTGTGTTTCGTATGGTGAGTGTAGAGAACCGGAGAACCTTTTTACTGGGAATAAGGCATTCTCTTAGTCCACAGGGGTGACAACGAAAAAACAATCTACATTTTGATTTTTAATCAAGGATAGATGTCTATGGACTACAGCATTCACTTACCATCGGGTGGACTATGTGCTCGTTTGTTACCCTTAAACTATATAAAAAAGTGATTTAGAGAATTACATGATAACACCAAAGTATGCAAACCAACAGCAATACTACCCATCTTAATAGAATAGAATAAAATAATTTTTATTCAATATACATTACATTTAACACATTACATGTAACACACGGCAGCCTCTTAGCAGTACTATCTTCCTTACCTACACTAGAAGAATTAATGCAACTAACATTACCACGATACTGTAATTCTACGAGTCTTAGTACTCGTAGAATTACTTACGCAGAATCTCTTGCGCACGGCACATACAGTGAACTTTATACTGCTTAAACGAGTGGGGGTTTCTCGATATACCCTCAATTCTATCCTCATTTGTTCGTCTTTTCTTTTATTTATACCCTCAGTAATTTCATAAGGCCATAAGCAAGAAACCATAGCTGGACATAGCTCCAATAGAAATATTTAAAAAAGTCATATATTGTAAGCTAAGAAAAAGTTTTCCACGTTTTTGCTACCTTAAATAAAATAGGTACTTCGACGATCAGACACCTGACAATTTAGCGCTTGACTCGAATTCGTCCGACAGATCACGAAGGATAGTTTGGCTGTTGCAAAGTTTCGGCCAAATGGCAATTTACTGTAGATGATAGAGGTAGCAATATTTGGATAAAAAGATTCTATAACATCCCAATCTAAATTCAAAATAATAAGCAATCATTGTAAGCACCGTGAAAACTTTTTATCTTCCTTGAAAAATTATTTGGGAGCCTCCATATTCTATCCCTTGCAATCTTGTTTTGTGGGCGCCGTAAGGTATCTCTCCACCGGCCCCGTCACCGGGACGTCATAGAGAACGAGATGACGGCGCCGAAGTAGAGATACCACAGAATAAATAAATAAATAATACATTTACAATTGCCGCGTGTCCACCGCACTACCGTCACCCGAGCGCCCGTCATCCCGGCCTCTGAAGTTTCGAGAAATTCGACGCGACCGCTAATTTCGACGCTAACCTCTGTCCGAGATTGTGATGGGCCAATACAAAACACCTCAGTTTAGTTTGTGTTTGGAGTGTGATGGAATATTTTATGTGATATAGGATAAAACAATAATAAATAAGTACTAAAATTTGGACTTACCGACAAAAATATTCACCAAAAATAGAGATCAGGGCAAGCAAAACACATGCACCACAATTTCCTGTGCTGCGAGCGGACTGATGATACTTTCATTCACAGTCTTCTCATGCGTCACACACCTACAATTCAGACCTAGTGAGGTGTTTCTATGCACCGTATTTATCAAACTTCCCTCATAGCAGAATGACTCTGTTCAAAGACTGTGTTAAGAGTCTAGGTCTATTATAATATATAAAGTAATTTATATCGATCGTATTTTGCATCGAATAATTCATCAACGACTAATTAACGATACTCATTTCGTTCATGTTGTTTGTTGGAAATATTTTTTTAATGTTATATCTTATATGTGTATCCTATACATACATTTCACAAAGTTAAGCATCCCGACCCGAAACAATTATTTGTAAGTTAATCAAATACTTGTTCCGTGCGTGATTTAAACCCACGGCACTCAGCGCAGTAACTCGTTGCTAAGTCATTGCTGCTAAGGTTACCTAACTTTTGTAATTTTACAACTATTTAGATATCTATCCCTAGAGCGAGACATTTTAGTACTGTGAAGTTGCTTACTGAGGTTTTGATAAATTGCTATTAACCGACTTTTACATCAAGAAACTGACGGAAAGAAACAAAGAAGCTTAGAATGTTTATTCTGAGCTGTCGGCATATTATTAAATATTAATTATATCTTGAATTACGTTTTAAATAATTTAAAATTAAAAATGTTGTACAACCGACTTCAATATAAATTATTAAGGATAACTCAAAAACTAACCTTGATCAAATTTATATGGGACCACATGTGAAGCACCAGCTTTCAAATAAAAAAAGAATTATCGAAATCGCTTCACCCAATAAGAAGTTATGAGGTAACACATAAAAAAACATACAGTCGAATTGAGTATCCGCTCCTTTTTGAAGTCGGTAGAAAAACCTTCATAGATATGAATGTCTATAAATATTAATTTGTCAAATTGATTATGAAGCTGGCCACATACCGATAATTGCTGTAATATAAATTCTTCTTGACACAATCAGAACAAAAGAAAATTTCAGCAATGTCACAAGCAAAATTACAAGTGAAAATTCATCGATGATAATAATAACAATAAAAAACACCATGTAGTGACCCCAACTGGATCCAAACGTTGATAAATTGCAAATATGAAGTATTCAAGTGCTGGTCTCTGGTGGCTAGTGTTTCTTTTAATACAGGTATTTTTAAGTATTTTGAATATTTGGTAAAATATATACATAATGGATAAACCCAATTAATCAAACCTATTCAAAAATTAATAATATCTGAGAATTGAAATCGTGTAGAATATTTAAAGCTATAATCTACTCGTACGTTGACCGACGTGTCAATAAACTTTACTTTCTTCATCATATCTAGTACTAGTACAACTTGACGATCTTATTTTTAATTTCTGAAATGAATTGACTTGAATGAAACATACTTGCGTTTAAAATCTGCAATTCCAGCAAGGTCCGAATAAAACTTGGCAGACTACCTGTCAAAGTTAAAAGTTTCATTTTATTAACAGTGTATACAATATTTTTTACATTAAAAATAAATTCGTATAACTCAATCGCTTGATTTTCTCACTCTATATTTTATACATCGGCTTTTTTTTTAATTTTAACTAACGATTTCTATGATACTAGCATAAATAATAATAATAGTAAATAGTAATAAATTCACTGCTACAGGTTGGGTCATAATTTTTTGCTATATTAGCACGAATGGGTGGGCTCGACCGGGGAAGGACCACACTCTGACAGAATACTAGAGTAAAATAGCAGCATAATGCTGCTGTGTTTCGTATGGTGAGTGTAGAGAACCGGAGACCCTTTTTACTGGAAAAGAGACATTCTTAGTCCTCACGGGTGACAACGCATCTGCATTTTGATTCTTTATTAAGGATAGATGAAGATGTTTATGGGTCACAGCAACCACTTACCATTAGGTGGACTGTGTGCTCGTTTGTCGCCTAATCCTATAAAAAAATTGTTTTAAAGTAAATTTATATTGAAATGAAAGTCCACTGCTGAATGTAGAGTTCCCCCAAGGAAAGACACTATCCACGATCCTGAGCCACATGCATCCATCGACTTCCTGCAGCTCTTACCCGATCGTCACTCTATCTAGTATATAGTAATTATTTATCTTATATTATATATAATATTAGATAAATAATTTTATTAACATCTTTACATATTCTGCGGAATTAATGGTGACAGTTACCGTATCCGTCAAAAAGAACCATGGGCCGATGATGCCCTTTGATGTTTTAATTTGGGACTTTCCTTGCTCTAGAATCTACGATTTTGCTTATTTACATGTCTGTTCAGTTGGAAATGTGCTTCGTCTGAAAAAATCTTGGAGTTGGTAAACGAATGTTTTGACCAAAATCAAGTCATTCTATTTTAAATTTGCACTAACTGCAT